AGTATGATGTAATGTCTCACAATTTGTGAGATTTAAAGGTAATACCTTTTTCAGCAGACATTAATAAGATCAAGAAAAGAGTCGTCCAAAAAAATGCTCTTAATTTTTCCAAAATGGAAAAAATGGGCTTCTTTAACCCATTGATTTGGGAAAGCCACATTGATAAGTCACTGCTATGGTGGGCTAAGAGGCAACCTGAAACAATTAATATAATCTCTAAAGTGCCCAACATGCTTCCAGGTAGTAAATACATTTAGTGAATTGCATATTAAAGAAAATACATCAAAAGGTGTGGGAAGATTAAATATACCTTTTCCCTAGCCTTCCTGGAAGGTATCATTTTATTGTCACCTAGTTTCTCTTCCTGTCTTGAGAAGCAGCAACTTCTACAGTTGTTATAATTGTTGTAATTTCATTTGTGAGTCTGAGCTGAGCAGAAAGGTTTTTTAGTAATTTACCTTTTGTATTAATAGGGACAATATTTTCATCAGTTTTACAGCTTTACTTGGATCTTGTTAAGTTCCCAGGAAAATCTTATTTCAAAGGCAACCTTCTAAGAATAAAAATGGAACCCAGAACCAGATGCTTCACGGATTTTCATTTTAGGCTTCTATCTTGTTGAATTGTAAAAGCAGTGTTAAGATCTTCATAAGACTTGGACAACTGATTACAGTGCATGAAAATACCATTAATTAAGTAACTCCTTGCTGTGTCACATTTATTCTGTAAAGATTGGGGGTTTTGTTTTTGGTAAATTATTTACAATATTGGATAATACAAAATTCATAACAAAAGGATCATTATTTTTATCCAATTTCTATGGTTGAATTTGAATATAGGCAAGGTCAAATTTGCATGGTATTACCTAAATGTATATAGTTAAACATGCAATAACTTGCTATATTGTTACAGCATGAATAAAATGATACTCATATCAACTTGTATATATGCACACATAGTGTATATATCCTACATAACTTCTATTATGGTTTAGTATTTTGGTTTTAATATTCTTTCTATTTAATGAAATTATATTAATTTTCTAATTATATTAACAATCTCCCTGTTTTGTAATCTGGAATCATTGTAGATAGTTGTAATTTTAATTGTATAATCACTAATGTTAAAACTTGGGGGATTATTATGCATTCTGAATTTGACGTGCTAATTTTAAAAAGCTTATGTATTTTTTATTAGCTATACTTTAATACCTTTGGGAATTCTAATATTAAATTGATATTACTAAGAATTTTGACATTACCATATACATCGTTCTTGAATATTATAATTAGCAATCATGACCATTAAGTGAAACAAAACAAACCAACGTTTCCAAACAGGCCATTTTTACATATGAGCCACAAAATTTTATTACTGTTCACATTAAATAAAAAAATGAAAACTTCTGTTTTGAATAAATTCTAATATTCATTCTAGATATGTCTGATTATAGATGTATTCTTTAACTGTCTTTTGCAAAGAATGTAAACCTTACCATAAGGAGAAGAGGAGTATAATATTTGATGAAGAACAGAGACTCTTTTTTTGTCTACAAAACAGTAATACGCTATTAAAAATTATTACTTGTAATATTACTTTATGTTTCAGTTAGCTGTTTTAATTTTCCTTTGGGGAGTACACATACAAGGACAAAAATGATAGTGATCCTATTCCCATAATAACTTTATCTTATAGTTATTAGATTAATAGTACTGTAGTATTTTAATTGCCATGTGGATTTATGGTGAGTACAGTGATAAAGGCTAATAGGCTGGAATTTCAACATAAGTAAAAATGATATTCCTTCCAATTAAAGGAGAAAGTGTATGCCTTCCTTTGGAATTGATCAGAAAGTAAAAGTTCACTATTTTTTACTTGACACCTTACAGTGCAGTCATGGCTTAGTTTAAAAAATGACAATGACTATTTTTATGTAGTAGTTCTAGTAAATTTATAGAAGCTTTATAAATTTGTTCAAGCAAAAACAATCTTGAATATATGAGTTATACAATGTATGTTTATGATATTAATCATTGGACACTATTGACCTATTGTAGGTTAAGTATTTTTTTTATCGCTTACTATGGAAGTTTAGGAAGGACGTATATTTTTTATTTGGTGCTTTAACATTTTACATTTCAGTAATAAAACCATAAAAACGACCTCATACAGCTCAGAAAGTAGCAACCAATGAGATACCAAATATACAATGATTATGCTCTAATTTATAATCTATTTAATGAAGGAGTAAATAAACACAATTATTGTAATGTTAACTGTATCTCAATATTAATATAGTTTTAGAATTAATGAGGAATTGAAAGTTGTATTTTTTTGTTTTGTGTTGCTTGAAAAATATAAAAATCAATTTAACATTTGATATTGTAATAATTCCTTGTGTTGTTCAGTCATTTTCAGTCATGTGTGACTTTTTGTGACCCCACTTGGGTTTTTTTTGGCAAAGATATTAGATACGGTTGCCCTTTCCTTCTCCAGCTCATTTTACAGATGAGGAAACTGAGGCAAACAGGGTTAAGTAACTTGCCCAGGGTCAAACAGCTAGTAAGTGTCTAAGGTCAGATTTAAACTTATGAAGATAAATCTAGGCCTGGCAGTCTATTATTCTGCTGCCTAGGTACCTTTAATAATTTCTCAGGATATATTAACATATTTTGATTTCCATGGGTAACAAAAAATTAATTAGAATCACCATATATCTAGATCTAATGGTTCTGAAAGCACCAAAAAGTCCTCATATAGTGAAAGGAACTTTGGGTGTGGAATGAAAACACCTAGGCTGGAATTCCTGCTTCGTTACTTATTAGCAATGTAATCTTGGACAACTGCTTACCCTCTCAGGGACTCATTTTCTTTAAGTGTAAAATGGGGGAGAAGGAAGAATTGGGATGGATTCCCCCTTTGATCACTACAGCTTTGGATTTATGATATTATGATCTTGTATCATAGGGTAGTTTTTGCCTATGATGCCATAGCCTAGGCCCCTGAAGATCCATTTAGAGCCTAGCTTAAAAGTCTACGATAATTTTCTTGTGGGATCTCAGAGTAAATTCTCACTTTCACAATGAGTTTTTTTTCCAGGTTGCTATATTATAACACAGCTATGCTAAGATGTATGTATGTATGTATGTATGTATGTATGTGTGTATTTATTTATTTTTCAGTGAGGTTAGTTGGGGTTAAATGACTTGCCCAGAGTCACATAGCTAATGAGTGTTATGTGTCTGAGCTGGATCTGAACTCAGGTCCTCCTGACTCCAGGGCCAGTGGTCTATCCACTGTGCCACCTAGCTGCCCCAAGATTTATTTTTACCGGTGAATCATAGAATCTCAGGCTGTTAGAGCTAGAAGGAACCATAGAACCATCTTGAACTATCTCCCTTGTACTTATAGATGAGGAAACTGCCCAAGGTCATATAGTGATTTAATGGTAGAATTTGAACTAGATCACTATTCGTGTGTGTGTGTGTGGTGTGTGTGTGTGTGTGTGTGTGTGTGTGTGTACACAGAATTTTCAGAATAGGGAAAAAAAACCATGAGAATGCTAAATTATTTATAATACTTGTGATGTCATTTATAAGGTGGTTCTGCTACTAACTACAACTAGTACTGCCTTAATTTCCTTATCAGTAAAAGGAAGTTGAACTGCATTGTTTTTTAGGCATATGATAGCTTTAATAGTCTGTGATTCTTTATTCTGTATTCTAAAACTTAAATTGGGGGCATCTAGATGGCACAATGGGGAGAGTGCTGAACCTGGAGTCAGGAAGAATCAGCTTCATGAGTTCCAATCTGTCCTCAGATACTTATTAGCTGTATGGCCCTGGGAAAGTCACTTAACCCTGCTTGCCTCAGCTTCCTCATCTGTAAAATGAGCTAGAGAAGGAAATGGCAAACCCTCCAGTATCTCTGCCAAGAAAACTCTAAACAGGATCACAAAGAGTCAGACAGGACTGAACAACAAAAACAAAACTTTAAGTCATTTCAATTTTTTCCTGCTTTTTTTCTGCAAATGAGAGACATGCTTGGTTGTAGGATAAGACGAATGGGAGGCAGTGTTGTGTAATGGATAGAGACTGGTCTTGAAGGCAGGGAGATGAACCTTCCAGTTCTGCCCCTAATATACATAATGACTGTATGTTCCTGGGGAAGTTACTTAACCCCTTCATGCTCTAGGCAGCTCTTTCTAAAACTGGCAGTTGTGGAGAAAGCGTTAATTTGAATTGGTAGAGGGAGTTTCCTTATCTGGGAATTCCTTACACTAAGGAAACCACAGGTCTAGTTCTAATCCCTGTTGTAAGGTTGTTATAACAACCTCACAGTGACATAGTTAGAATTTACTCTTAAGTTCCAGAAGACAGTTGCTGTATCCTCTGGATTGTACTAGAAAGCCCCCACCTCCAGGCACACTCTATGGATCACCTTGTGTGTGTGAAAACATTGTAAAATGGTGTACTTGTGGCCCTGTCTTTTCAAATGTTCCACAATTCTGTAGTTCTCAGTCAATTATGAAAAAAGGAACTGCTGGCCCTTGTTATTCTGGCTTTTGTGTCCCTAAAAGGCACTTTATTGACATTTGTACAAATCAAGGTATCTTCTTTTCACCCAAGATTATTAATGTCAATATAACTCTCTGTTAAAATATCTCCCATGAATAAAAGCCTAGCAGGAAAGAAGTCTTGTCTTATCTGTTCATAGATTTTGTGTTAGATTGTGTCATGTGTTTTTATCACAGGATTTAAGGATTTAAAAAACTGAGCAGCTTGTGAGGGTTTGTGGGTAGATGATTCTGCTCTCTGCCAGCTTGGTCACTGGTAGTTGAACTCAGCCAGCATCTCTTGGTCTGCAGTAGAATAAGAAATAGACAGACTTGTTTTTTATGTGATGAAAATACTTGAAAGTCAAATTTATTTTATCCAGAACAATGACATATTGATGTTTTAATGATTCTGTCCTGCCTATTTTCTTTTTTTGCCTTTTAGGGTAAAGTGCAGCAAAATCAAAAATTTATTTGGCTGTGCCTCATCATCATGAACCGTGCTTTTAGCAGAAAGAAAGGTAAGTAATCTGAAGGGATAAATAATAGTTGCTTTTGTTACTGTTGTTGTTATAATTGTTATTAAAACTGAATTAAGAGACTTCTAGTTGGCCTGAGAATTAATATTTCATACTAGAATTAAGACTAAGTAATCTCTGTTTCAGCTTTAAAATTTTATTAGCCTCTAAGTAATAACAGGAAGTAAGAATCTATAAATTTTCCAGATTTCCTTCTTGGCGTGCAGTTTCTGTAGTAAGAAAAGGCTCGAGAATTTATACTCAAGCTGTGGCTATTATAAGGCCAAAGTTTGCAAGTTGGTAGTCTAAAGAAAAATTAGACATTTGCATTTCTTAAGTCTCCCCTAGAGAATCAAAAGAAGGTCCTGGATTCTGCCCAGTTTCCCTTTTGTTACTCTTCTCTCCGAATCTTCTAGTTTTGCCACTACCCCCGACACCTAATTGTCCAGATAAGCCCACCATCACATCTTTTTCTGAGGAATATGGTGACAAGCCAAGTTGACAAGCTGAAAAATCTAGCATTACAGTTGCCATCCCCTTTTTAAATTATTCTTCTCTGTAAGAATGTGCTAAAGGAAGTTGACTGAGAATAGTTGAGGAGCTAAAGAAGGGAAGAGATAAACATCATTTGAATAGAAGCAAAGCAAGTTAAATATTACCGAGGTTGAAAGTTCAGGACAATAGATTTTAGGACTTTGAAAATATTTGTCTAATTGTGTGGTATTGGTATTTTAATTTTAGATGAAACATCTGTCACAGAAAACTTCTCTAATTTTCTTATTTCCTAAATCGAAATACAAGCAGGATATTTCCAAAAGCTGTTACTAAAGTTACTTCTTATATATCAGTTGGTCTTTCAATGTAGTGTCTTCCCTCCCAGATTGATTTTTTTTTTTGGACTGGGTAAAAGAGGCCATTCTTTGCTTCATTTCTTTACCTAACCTCACTCACTGGGCATTGCCTCAGTCAAACTGAGATCTGGGAAAGATCTTAACTTCAAAAGGCCAAGGTCTCCCCCTACATACATAGTCATGCTGATCTATATCTTGCCCCTGGATCCAGATGGCTCCAGCCCTCCCTCACTTAAATCCAATTCACTTGCAATTCATGACATCTCCTTCCTGATGTCAGTGGTTCTCTTTGAGAACAAAGGGCAAACAACAGCCTTTCATACATGAGAGTACTTCACCACTGTCATTTGGCATGATTCCTGACTTTGTCTTTATTTAAGTCACTCAGAGATGGTTGATAATTTTAGTATTTCCCAAATACCAGTGCAATATTTGTAATACTCGTCTATTATCTCTCACTCTTAGTATGTGTCCTTAATGTTCTGTCTTAAACCACCCTTGTGTGTTTGTCATCATTGGTTATATGCTGCAATTTGTTTATACCCATAATCAATAATACACTTTAAAAGGGAAAGAGAAAGAAAAGAAAATCAAATAGCAATACTTGGGAGGATATTTTCTGCAATTTACACAAATTAAATAGCCTATATTCAAAGGACCCTGGAATTAAAAGAATATCAAAATATTCCAGCATTTAGCACTGTGTCTGTCACATGATAGTCAATTAAATGTTTATTGACTGATTTTTAAAAACACAGGAACAGAGGAACATGGATTTAGAGCTGGAAGGAACCTCCCAGTTCAGTTCCTTCAGTTTGCAAATGAAGATACTGGAGCCCAGGGAGGTTTAGCAATTTGCCCAAAGTCTTTTTTTTTAAAATTTAGTTTATTTTGCTCTGAACTTGAGAAATAAAACAAGCATTTTCATAACATGGTAGAAAAGAAAAAATATGATTGTATGTGAAACTGGAAATCTATTATGTACAACTTGCTATTCCTTTTAAATATTTAATAAAGGTGTAATGTAACTTTATTTTCCCCCATTTTTTCTTCCCTCTCCCCAAGTATTAAGCATCAGAGGTAGGATTAAAACCAGATCCTTTGACTTCAGAGCCAGTATTTTTCCACTGCAAATCAGACCATTTAAAAAAAATGTTCTTTATCCTAGAAATCCTTTTAAAAGTGAGTCATTTTATTCAAATTATCAGATTTCAGTGAAGAAGTAAAAGATGGGGAAGTACCTAATATAGCAAATAACATTTTATATTGTGACAAAATATTATTTAGACCAGAGTAAAGCCAAGTCAAGTTTACCATTGACTTTCAGTTAAGGATTTAAAAGAAATCCTAATTTACTGATTAGTATGGTCTAAGTAAGGATTTAAGTATAACAATAGTTCACATTTACATAGTGTTTTATAGTTTTGGAAGCACTTTGCTAAACTACTGTTCAGATATTATTCATATCATGAACAAATGCAAACACTCCAGCATATAAACAGGTTGTCTTCTAAAAGTATATGTGTGTGAGTGGTAGGCAGTTATTTGTAACTTGTGATGAATTTTTCCATGGAATTAATTTATGGATGTGGTAGGTAAATTCTAGAGTAGCCCACAAAAATCCACAATGTATCTGAAGACTTCACTGACCATGTTAAAACAAAGTTTTCATGGGAAAATTCATTTAGGATAGGATCACATCTCCCCATCCCAGATTGGCTTGCCACCACTGTGGCTTCTTACCAGGCTGTCTTTTCTTCCCTGGCCTACTGTGGAACAGAATACAACCAGATTCAGTTCACATAGAGGGCTAGGTTTTGTTTTTTTGTTTTTAAAGGCTTTCCATAAGAGGCCATCCATCAAACTTTCCTCTTGCCCCTAACTTACTGTTAGCAAAAAGGAAAAACTGACAGGGTTTAAAAGGACTCTTTCCTGTTTCCCTTCTGCTCTCTTGAATTTCTTCCCCTCCCCAATGCCCCCTCCCATTTTAGACCACTGGAAACAGTTATCCATTAGTGTTAAATGGTAGCTTTTTTTTTTTAAAGGACTTAAGTAAGACTAATTTACATTTCTGAAGAAGAACATAGTTCAGCCTTTCTGGGCTTAGGTCATGGAAGTTAAGGTAGGGGCAGGAACCCCAGATAAACAGTAAAATGTGTCCTCTGTGAAGCTAGAGGAGAGTGATGACTTAGCAGTAGAGCCATGGTTAAGCTAGGAAAACAATAGCAATATTGCACAGCTGCCTTCTCATCTTCCCTGTGACCCTGTCACTACTAGCCCTGCTACAGACATCTAGACCTCACCCTCTACTGGCCTAGGGGTGGGGTGAGAATCATTAGGGCCATAAGATTTCAAGCTGGAAGAGGTATTAGAGTTTTTCTTGTCCAGCCTTCTCTTTTAGAAATGAGAAAACTGAGCCCCGGACAGGTTAAGTGACTTGCATTTGGTCACAAAAGCAGAGAGTTATGTTTTCTGACTTTAAATTTAATGGTTACTCTCTACACAGTCCTGCCTCTAGAGAGTAAGGGGAGGCAGAAAGGAGAGAAAGTAATTGTACTAGGCAGTAGTTGGCAAAATAAAGATGGAGATCCTATGGACACTAGCCATTCCTGTTTGACTTTCTGTATGTAAGGGAAATGGGAAATAGATATTTCAGGGCCTGCCCAATATAGACATATAAATTAAATTCTGTTTCCTAAAAGGAATTAAATCTTGCATAACGCTCATTAAAGTGTTATTTTAAAGGTTAGGGTATTATGTTAAAGGCTCATTAGAACCCTTCATTGTGCACGTTCTCAGAAATTGAGTCTTTAAAGTTACTACTCATGCTGATTTCTTATATGTACAATCTTGGTTCCTCTCTCCAAGAGAGGAAGATAAGGAGACTGGAAATCATATGGTATGACTTAAAAACAAATTCATTCCTTGTTTCAGTGTGTATGTGTGTGTTCCCTGATTTCTCTCATTCTCCCTACTCCGAGGTACAACTTGCTTTGTGATGAATTTGGCCTTTAACCAGAAGTTTAACATTGGGGTTATAAATGAACTCTGCTAGTTCTAGCAAATAATCTGAATTTGAAATGAATTGAAATATTTAATATCCTCCAGTTTCTGGTTAAACCAGTAAAAGTCTGATCTAACTATAACTTGAGAGGGAGAATCTATTTAAATGCCTTTGCTTTTCACATTACTAGAGAATTAATACATGCTGATCATCTGAAGCCATAATTATACCCCTAGGGAATATAATTAATGTCCTTTTCAGTGAATGTTATAAGCATATAGTTTGTGCAAACTTCTCATTTGCAAAGAAGAATGGTCTTGCTTCTACTATTAGATGGCCATATATTTAATGTATTTCTAATTTCCTTACTTAATAATATAATGCATTTATTTCTAAATAATGTAGTGTGTTTAAGTTGAAAGAGAAAGACCACCTAATCTGTAAGATAATTGTTAACATAGCCTATCAAATGCCTCAGTTGGTATTTTGGTCGTGTAATTTGTTCCGCCATTAAACCTCTCCTTAATTGATGTTGCCAGGTACTTAATTTTTTTTCTTAACCAAATGCTGCACTAAAAAGCATTAAACATATTAGTATTGATTCATTTTGAAAACTTTGAAAAAATCTGTTAAATAAATTACTTTATATTAACAAATGTGTATATTAAAATTTAATGCATTTGGTTGTTGTGTAGCTTCAGCTTTAATATTAGCTATTTTTCTTTCTGATTATGTTTTTAAGTCATGTATTCTGTTCATTACATCAAAAATGAATTATCTAATAGCAAACCATTAAGCACAACATCCAAATAAATAGAGCTAAATTGATGCAATGAATTATGCTTTATTCTCTTTTAACCCATCAGCTGTCAAATATGGAGGGGTTTTTGTATGTTTTAGCAATTTAAAAATTCAATAGGAAGATGTTATTTCATGGATTTTTTTTTCATTCAGATTGGTGATGTTTTTACAAACCAACTTTCCCCTCCCTCAGATTCTCAAGGTTGCTGGGTGCCAGAACGCACATAGCAAGGTTTTAGAATGTCTTTCTGTAAAAGTTAAGATTAGAAGAAAAAGCTTTCTATATTGAATATTATAAAGACAGACTTCAAAGAATGAAGATAAGAAACCTCACATTATCCCTGTGTGTCCTGTTCTTTGTTTCTAAGAGATGGTGCTAGTATATTAAGGAGTACTAAAATGTCAAGGAAAAAAATTACAAGGGAAAGAAAATCTTAATTTTTTCTCATTCTTAAGCATTTTATTTTAATTTTTATAATGCCAGTATTATTGTTTAAGTACATATTACTTTAGAACATACCTAAGGTAGGGTCACAATAAAGATTTATTTTTGGAATAGTTATATATACATTTTTAAGCACCTTTTGTGGCTGTTACAGTTGTGAGGTTGACATCTGCAATGAAGGTATTAGAGCTGAACAATGAAATGTGAGTTTGGTACCTGCTATTTGCTGAATATATAATTAATCCATTTATTCAGTAGTTTAGGGAGCATTGTGATCTTTTTTGGCCCAGCCTTCCAAATGGCTGTGTAGGTAGATGTCTAGGTCCTTTCCTAGGTATCCATGGTAACCTGACCATCTCTAATGAGGTAGTAAGGTAATTTCTTTGCTTATCAGCAAGTCATCATGAGACAATGCCTTTTTAATACCTACATACTATCCTTATTGGTAGAAGATTTATGATAGTTTCACCAAAATAACATTTTTTATTTTAAAAATAAAAAGAGTCAGTTCTCAATAACTTGGAAGTTGGAAGGACACAAATTATCTTCTTACCCCGAAAATAATATAAACTGTCAAATTCAGAGAGCCTAGTAATACTTATTTCAACTCTGAGGGGGCAACATTGCCCTCAGAGGGAGGAGAAGAGGGATGAGATACCAATAGAAACAAAATTGATTCCTAACACCTCCCAAATCAAGTCTTTCATTGTGTATTTTGTTTGAATGTTTATGACTCATTGGAATCCCAAGTTCCAAATATTTGCATGTGTAAAACAAATTCAAAACTAAATAAAAATTAATTTTGAATTATTGAGTCTGTTATTTCCTCCCATGAGCATGCATCATTAAAACCTAACTAATTATTTGTATTTTTAGGAAAAAAACCCAATCCATGTATATGGTTAATACTAGTTAACTATTATTCCTTTTTGAAGCTCATGAGATATTCATTGAACAGCAGTTTTTAGGATATCTGTTTCATATTGTGTTTTAATCAGTCAAATCAGTCAATAAACATTCAGTTAGCACTTGTCATGTAAGCTCTGGGGAAACAAAGACATGTAAAACAAAGATATGTAAAGAGCCCTTGCCATGGAGGACCTCCTTCTAATGAGAGGAGACAACATGGAAATAACCGGTTGCTTACTTAACATACTCCATGTAGAGGGAAGGTGATCTCAGATAAGAAGGCAATAGCAGATAGGGGAATTGGGAAAGACCTCCTTTAGAAGGTGGGATGTGAAGGTAGTTTTGAAGGAAGCCAGGAAAACATAGATGAGGAGAGAGAGCATTACAATAACAGCAACAATAGCTCATTTATATGGCTCTTTACAGGTTAAAAATCCATTCCTCACTATGACTCTGTGAGCTATGGTAGTCAGGTATTACTAACTCCATTTTATAAATGAGAAAACTGAGTCCTAGGGTGTTTGATTGACTTGTTATGGCAAGTAGTCCAGAGCACTTTCTACTTTACCACCGGAGCTCTGTCTCCATCGTTCCATATACTGAGAATGAGTATTGTGGCAAAATTATTTCATTGTTCATTTTTAAGATAAGAAGAACATATTAATTAGCACTTATTTTTACTTTCATCGAGCAGTCATTATTTAACGAATCAAACTAAAATGAAGGAGATACGTAGCATTTGTACCAAAATACAGCATATGTTGTCCTTTGAAGAGAATGCAAGACATCTTAATCTTAGAAGTCTTAGTGTCATGGAGAGGATCCCAAATTCTCATAATTTTGTCATTGAAGCATGCTATTGTATCTCCAGAACCTACTATATTGCCTAGAACGTTGGAGTCACTCAGTAAAATACTTCCCAGAGGACCCAGTCAAGCTGAGTGTGGAATTGGTTTATCCCCAAGACAGACACAAATTGTCTTTTTTCTGTTTTTGTTTTGTTTTGCTCCTCAATTTAGGGATCGTCTTTTGCCCAGGACTTAGCATTGTGCCTGCCCCATAATAGGTGCTTAATAAATAAATGCTTACTGACTGCTTTGCTTTGCTTTCTTTAGCCACAGGAACTTATAAAACTCTTAAGGACTAGAGAACTTTTGAAAAGGCACCAACCATAGTAATGAAATCATAATTACTCCCTATTCTAATGTCTTTGAGAAATTCATTGACTTCTTAGAGCCCCAGTTTCTTTGTCTATAAAATGAGAGAGTGGACTAAGTGACCTTTTAGGATCCTTCTAGCTCTGAATGTTTAACCCTCTGATCTCAAGTATAAAGTTGGCCTCAGTCTTCTTATTCTGCCAGTGGCTCTCTAATAATTTTCATCCCTAATGTTTGTCATTTTAAAGAAAATTTGAGCTTAATATCATTTTTAAATCACTTTTTATATACCATCACATAGATAAGGCCTAAATTGAGGATTTTTTCCTTACAATAATTTTGTCAGTTTCTAAATGTTTTCACAGTATTAATTTCTCAATTTAGACTTTACATGAATGCATCGTTTTTAACAGTTTTAAAGTTTTGATTTCACTAAGCAATTAAGTCATGCTGTCAGTGCATAATCTAATTCACAGTAGGGTAGAAATAACAGTAATGTGTATTTCTTGTATATTGGGGCATCATTTAAAAAAATCTGTGACATATGCAGAGGATGAAAATTGTTTAAATTACTTAGCTGATATGATTAGTCTAATGCAATTAGATATTTGCCTCATCTATTGGTAGCCATGAAAAAAATCCAATTAGACAATTATCTGCCAGGCTACAGTTCAGACAAACCAAACCAACCTTCCATTCCTCAATTTCTTCCTTCCTTCCTTCCTTCCTTCCTTCCTTCCTTCCTTCCTTCCTTCCTTCCTTCCTTCCTTCCTTCCTTCCTTCCTTCCTTCCTTCTTTCCTTGCTTCCTTCCTCTCAATTTTTATCCATCTGCTTCCTACCACTCACCCTTATTCTTTTCTGGGTAGAGTTATGAGCTTAGGATCATGTAAGCCCTGAGTTCCAAATCCTACCTCTACCATTTACTAAAATACTACATGAATATTAGTTGTTGCTCTCATTAATAACAATTCAGCTATCGTTATCAAGTGCCATTTTCTTCAGAACATATTTCTGGGGGAAATGCCAGTTTAGATAAGGAATGGTCCTTGCCCATTTATATGGAAGCAGGAACTCAGTTCTCTGTAGAAGTGATGTCATACACAGTGTTATGTTCCTGTACAACCCATAAAATCTTTTTTAACTCTAATGTCCTTGGAAATGTGTGAGTTTACCACCATAGGTAACTATGTTTGGGAGGAAAGCTGTTATGAGCATTAATTTGGAATTGAAAAGTAAATAAGAAAAAAAAGTTTCAGCTTTAATAAGTTTCACACTAAAAGGTATCTTTGGTATTCTTTGGAGTGCAAGTGGAGGTCTCCTCTAAGTTCCCCATAGGTTTCAAGAACTTTAGAACTTGCCTGACTCAAACTGTCCAATCAGCTTCCCCATTTCCTCCTTAGCCTTCCAGCGGACATGCAGAAAGACCCTGCTTGATAGTATCAGTAACTTGGGAGGCTGAGATTGACTTCCTCTTCATTATCCAGGATAGACCCAGAGTGCTTGACTCCCTTCTTTCTATCATGCTGCTTTTTTCACCCAAGGAAGTCAGTAGGGGAGGGGGGAAGACCAAAAATGAAGGTAGAGCTGTAAATAAAAGCCAATACAATTACAATTATATAGCTCAGTCTGCAGTAGGAATGGGGAAAGAAAGTCTCTGCTTCTCTGAAGGAAAAAAAGAATTATGGAGATAGATGCTATATTCTTGTGAAGGATCTCTGGAACTTAGTCATATATCTCAGGAACTACTTAGACATTTTTTTTTCAACATTTCACACAAAACAGGAAAACTTCAATAAAGAGTCCATCCTTCAACTATACATTTTGAGTAATTAAATGTGTTCACTGAATCAGAGGACTTGGGTTCAAATTTTGCCTCTGACCCTATGAGTGTGAGTTTGAACAAGTCTTTTAACCTCTTTAATCTTAAGTTTTTTCATCTATAAAATGGGGAAATTGAGCTATATGATCTCTGAGATTCCTTCTAGTTCTGTATTTATATTTCTTAGTATATAATTTAACTTGGGCAACCATGCTTATCATACTGCTTTACTAATTATAAATACATGTATACGAGAATTAATGTTTAATCAAATGCTGCTGTTCTTTATTACAGATAAAACATGGATGCATACTCCTGAGGCTTTATCAAAACACTATATTCCCTATAATGCAAAGGTAAAAGCACTTCATATATCACTTTGTTTTAGTATGCTACAATATTACAACTCAGTTTTGTTTTAAGAAACATTAGTTTCATGTAACCATTTCCTAGAAAAACACATTTGAATAGTTATAGGTTATAGTTACACTACAGGTTTATTCTTACTCTGATATGTTTTATTGCCCCAAAAGAGGTGATCCTCAATGTGCTTTATTATCATTGAAATAGAGTTGGTATCTCTAATAAATGTGTAGTTTAACGTTTTCAACCCCTACATGTATATTCTTGGAATGATTTTAGTGGCAGATGAGGTCGCAGTCTTGTGTAATACCCTCTGTATGATTATCACCCCATAACAAGTGAAATAACCACCATATTATCCTTGTTTACATTTTAATTTATATCAAAGGAAACTGGAGAGGGCAATGACCCCTAGACATTTGAAAAAAGAGCTGCAGTATTTTTAATGTACATGTTGTGACCATTTTATCATCTTTGGAATGCAGAACAAAAGAATAAACTAAAATGACAAAATCCTACTTTCTTTCTGGAGCATGTTTGTTCAAGTTACTGCATTTTAATGGACCAGATTCTGAATGATGAAACCATATCCAGTTTCTCCAAGCATTAGCATTTGCTTATTGGCAGCCAAGAGCATGAGTAAACAGGCCCTTTAAACAGCTCTATTTCAAAAGTTTTTCTAGGAGAAAAAGTGTTTTTCTGGAAAGTTAGTGTGGGCACTCAGCCTACAATATTTTTTCAGGTTAATACAAATTGTGAATTTCAAAGTGGAAAAAATGAGGAAGGGATTTTTAAGGAATGTCTGAATAAACGTGATTGAATAGAAAGAGCACATGCCGCAAGCCTTTGAAGATGTAATGGGAGTGAGGTCAAAAGCAGTGGGAGGCTGTAGGAATATTGTTATCAGTTCAATCAGTAAGCTAGGGAAAAGAGAATATTGAGATTGACTTTGGGAATTTATTTCTGAGGATAAATGAGCATTTGTTTTTAGTGGGGACCAGAAAGTCAATGATGTTTGGATACAGTATTTCTAGAGGTGCTGTTCTAACATCTGAATCAGCAGCGGGTAACAGGAGCTTTAAAGGTCAGTCCTGACAAAACTACTTCCAAAGGGGGTGTTCAGCAGTGAGATTTTTTTTTTTAAAAATGCATCAATAGTAGGAGTTTCCTGCTGACTGGTCAGCAATGGAGGAAAGTAGTGCTATGTGAAACTAGGATAACTTAAATCACCAAGATATCTATGAATTTCATTGCGAAGCTCACAGCAAGATTGATTGCCTTGATTAAAGCAAAGCTTAATTAAATGAATGAGTGGAATTAATTTAACATTATCCACTTCTTCCATGGATGTTCTTTTTTTACAGATAGTACAAAGTTGTATGAAGCCTGAAATTGGAACTTGAGAATTATTTTTTTAAGGGGTATGGACATTCATTTGCCAGTTATATCATATACCAAGCAGTAAAATTGATAGTTTGCTGTAATCATGGTGTTTTTATGTCATTCAAATTAAACAACTTATTGAAAAGAACAATGGAATTAACTTTAAGTTAATTAAGTGCATACATGATTGAAACAGTACAGTGTCAAGTGATGTAAGGGATTCTATCCATTTTATCATATTCCCTTTAACATATGATCCAAGCACATGTCTGCTAGCTCATGTTGAGATTTTCTTACAGCTGGTACACATATAAGCAAGGAGACAACTTAAAGATCCTTAGAAGTTTGAAGAAGTCTTTTAATCTATTCTTTCTTTCTAGGCCTTGGGATATTCATAGGGGGCTCATAGAGGCTTTTTGGTTGCATTCATTCTGGGTTGAATTTGTGGATATTTCTCTGGACTAGGGGCAACCAAGTCCTTCAAGACCTCCAAGGGCCATATAATAATAAAGTCTTTCAGAGTCAACTTGGCAGACCTGTTAATAAGTTCCTACTATAATCAAGGTAATGTGCTAGGCCATGCAAATCTGGTCCTTGTTCTCAAGGAGATTACAATCCTTTTTTTTTTTTTAAATGTAATGGGTTCTGTTTAAAAGTGGCTGACTCCCTTTCTCTAGATTTCTTCAAGTTAAGGCTAGATGCCCAATTATCAGAGAGAGTATGGAAAGAGATTTTTGTTTATGTACACATTGTCCTAGAAGGGCCTTCAAGATTCCTTCCAATTCAGAGAATGTATGGTGGTGGGAAACATAAGACAAATAAACAACTGATTATAATCCAAGACAGTAACTGCTAAATGTCATAAAAAAGGTACAGGTAGAAAGATATAGGTGTTCAGAGAAAGGAAACATTGCTTCTATTTGAGGGCTATTACAAGAGAAGCTTTTATAAAGAATATGACCTTTGAGCAGTGCATTGAAGCATGGGTTTGATTTCAACAGGCAGAAATCGTAAGGGGGTATAGGTAGGTGGATTTGGGTAGAAGAAAAAGCAATGACAAAAACAAGAAGGTTACAGAAGCACATGGAGATTGGTGGCAGAGGTTTGTGTAGAAGAGTAATGCATATTCAGGTACTTTTGGGAGCAATTGAAGGTTTAAGAGCAGAAGAGTGGCATGATCAGAATGGTATTTTAGGAAGTAAGTGTGGTAATGTCATGCAGAATCCATTAGAGAGAGGAAAGACTGGTAGTGGATAGGTTGTTGGAAACTATAGTTGTATAGCATATAGGACTCAACAAAAGTAGTAGAAATGGAAATGGGCAAGTGGAGATGGATATGAGAGAAATGGCAATGAGAGAATCAACAGGACTGTTTTGCTGCTGTCAGGTTTTTGAGAGATGAGAGAAAAGAAAGCGTCAAAGATAATCCCAAGACTTCAAACTTGGGTGAAGAATGGGAGTGGTATTAACAGGTCTATTGCTAGACTTCTTTTACTTGGTATCCTTTGTACATTGACATCCTTTATTTCATATATATTCACAAATTAAACAGAGCTGGTAATTACATATAAGTGATACCTAGATAAATTTATTTTTGATATTTTTCTGTTACTGTTGAGTACATCTTCATTTTAAAAATATCGGTGCATGGTAAGCACTTAATAAATGATTGGCTTTCCCTCTCTTCTTAACATTCCGGTACGTTTAGTTTGCCTTTGGAATATTTTGTAAATAAACATTATTCCATTTTATAGCAGATCCTATTTTATGAAATTCCTATTAAATATTCATTTTGTGCCCATTTTAGATCCTGCATGGATTATAAAATAATAGTAGGTGATTAAGAGGCATTATGTACCATTCTGTAAAGGTGCCTTTAGATTTATTCCCAGTACTTATTGATGGCATAAATGTTATTAGGGAAATCCTGCAGCATCCTCTACAGTGTTACTTTTCAGTCTCAAAGAAAGATATAGATTCACAAAACTTCACTAGTTTATTTAAAGCGTTAATTAGAAGTAAATAAAGGTGAAGTGTTTTAAGACAGAAAGAGAAAATAATGAATGGAGACTAGCAGTATGAGTCCAGGACTAGTAATTTTAATCCTGGGTCTTCTTAAAGTTAAATTTAAACTAAAATTTATTTCTCAAATGCATACAGATGCTATTAGAAGGGTTTTGATTCTCCATGTGAGGGAGTATAATTGATCATCATTGGGGGTTTTCTTACTTTGTTAACAAGTACAAAGTTCCAAAGGGCTGAGCTCCTATTCAGTTTGCATCCTTGTTGGCAGTAGTTAATCTACCTTTAAAATACTGAGATTACCCTGGCAACCTTTTTCTTCCAATAGGCACACAGTCTAAGAGCTAAATCCCTGCATGTTAGTGTTTTCCTTTCTACTCTATCTCTAAGAATCCCCTAAGGGAGATTACTAAGGGAAGGGAGGAGTACATCCTTTCCTCCAAAACACAGACATCCCTGACCCTTTACTAAGAATCTTATTCCTAATTTGTTATCTATTGTGCAAATCATTGTTCAGCACATGTGACGTGACTTAGGAGAGGCATTTGATAAAACCTGAATTCAGTCTGAAGAGGAAGCATTGGATTTAGGGTCCTGCTTGGTGTCAGGTAGGCCTGGGTTTGAGACTTAACTTTGACACACATTAGCTGTGTGACTTTGGACGAGGGCCAGAGCAAAACACAAGAACAGCAAAAGCAGCAGCAGCAGCAGCAGTAGTAAAACATAGGCTAACATCTGTTTGAATACTACCAAGAATAAACTTGATAAATGTTTTGTTGCTTACAATGAAGAAATGTTCCTCTTTGCAATTTGGACTTGCTAGTTCTACCCTGTGGGCTCAGGAGCAGACCAAGTTTAATCGCTTTTCCACATGACAGTCTTTCAAATACTTGAAGACTGACATCATACCCCTATTTCTTGGCCCATTTCCAAGACTTTTCTTTTCCATATTAAACATTCCCCGATTCTCCTATCACTAATCATAATGCATAATTTATGCACTTTGCCTTCCTACTCACCCACCTTTCGACACCTCTCTTACCAATATTCTTCCTAAAATGTGGTTCCCAGAGTTGAATAAGTGACTTCACATATAGTCTGCTGAAGGCTTTGTATTGCAAGACAAAATAATATAGGGGAAATAAAAGGAAGGAAGGAAGGAAAGAGGAAGAAAGAAGGAAGAAAAGAGAATATTTGAAGTCATTACCTACTTAACAAGAAGATGGTCATTCTTCTTGAAATTCCAAATGTACATTTCCTCTTCTGTGTATGATGTCTCTAAGAAATGGTCCAAAATGTATGTAGTCACATTATTTGTAAATGAAGGGACATTATTCTGAATGTGAGACTTTGCTTATTGCACTAGGGGGAAAAGTGTTGTGAAATGGCACATATACCCTAAAACTACATTATTAGCTTCTAAAAATGTGTAACGATAGTAAAGACAACCAACAAATATACTTTACAGTGCTTGAACAGAATAAAATATGTGGATAATTTTTATTAAGTTGTGTCCAACTCTTGTAACTGCATTTGAAGTTTTCTTGGCAAAGATACTGAAGTGCTTTGCCATTTCCTTCTCCAGCTC